TGTATTAAGCTGCAGTAATGTGCAAATTTCCAGACTGTGGGATCAATAAAGTTTTATCTTATCTTATGTTATCTTAAAAACAGTTTTTAGTCAGTGGATAACTGTGTTTTTGCTATGAAACTACAAACATGGCCGAACGGGGTGGAGTCGAATGCTCAGCGACCTGGAGGGGGCGGGGTGTGAAATATCTCACTTGTATTTAAAGAGACCGCACCAAAACAGCTTGCTCTGAGGCGCAACTCAGAACAGGGGTAAAGCAAGGAAAGCAAGGAGTCTGTGGAGCAACAAAAACGAGGAGTTAAGACCAAAGCGTTGCAGTTTTATTTTAAATAGACCATAAGTGAATGATTTAGACGTGAAAAAGAAGGATTTAAAAGCATCATATACCTTCCCTGTGGCACAACAGGACATTTAGATGAGAGGTTTAACACAAGGTGAGCGTAAAGCAGCGTGCACTGATCTCGTCCAGGGAGGTTTTAAAGCAGCTGAAATAAATCTGTGTTCAAAGATTTCTACCTTATAGAATATCTACAGGTAAAAAAGAAGGGCTGCAGAGCATTAATGAAGTAAACCTAAATGTTTAAATTGAGTTCTGTGACAGGATTATGTAGAAAACCTTATATTTCTGTAAGTGTTTCTCCTACATAATGCTTATCAGTTAACTGCATTTGGAACAATTGTGATATGACCATGCATCATATGGTGGCTCTGCTAACACATAGGAAGCAGTGCACACCTGTGCCTGAGGAGTATCAGCTGTTTTTAGCACAGTCCTGATCCCTGAAGTCAATGAGGGACGGGGTTCTACACACTCATTCCTGTGTCTCTAAAAGACAGAAGTCAGCTGACTTTCTCAAATCTCACATATTGCTGATGTTTTGTCAAGAACTACCTCTGGAAATTCAGATTCAAACAACTACAAGAAATTGATTCCCAGGCTCAGTCAGTCTTCCTCTGTCAAAGTTTCAAAATAAAAGACTTACATGATGTTTAAGCTTTTCTTTTGTCTTTGAACCTGCTGTGTCAAGTCTGAGCCAACAAGCATCCCTTCATGCTTTTCCCCATCTGACAGCAGGAAATAATTTTGGTTAAGTTATTCTACAGCTTTATTTCACACACACTGAACATTTTGTGTAAATAAAGCAGTTGATTCAAGCTCAGGTTTCTGTTCTGGGATCTAAGCGGTGATGGTGCAGGATCAGCTCTTTTTCCTAACCAGTGTTAGTAAAAAAACAACCCGATGACAAGATAAGTGTGTCTGCGTCAGCATTCTCACCGTTCACATTTAGCTAGCATGTTGTGTACACATCAAACTGTTACGGCCAATCAGAGAACATCAGACCGTGTTTGTGTCAATTAAACACTCAGGATAAACAGATCAGTTAAAGTAGAGTTATTTAAAGTACACTGCACTGAAGCACATTTATTACTGTTCTTGATGTGAACCTTCTCAGTCATCCAGGTCATCTAAAGCTTCACAATAGGAGCCCAGTTTTTTTTCTATTGGTGTATTCTTCTTATTCTTTTACCTTTTTCACAGTGTTTGATTTGCTAACCCAGCTTTGGCTTTAGAAATAAAAACATTGGAAAGTAGGACTGTGAGGCAGTTATGATGGGGGTCCAAGCCCATTTATGCATGTCAGCTTTTGCTCATGTAGTTTCTAGAATCCTGTTGACTTTGTTTACCATGGATTATTAGCATGATGGGGAGTTTTTATAAGGTCTGTTTGAGGGCCAATTTGCTTCAGTTAGTGCTTCTCATTAATTCAGGGTCAAGCAAATTTGTCTCCATTTTTGGTTCCAACGCACTTTTGGATCAACCTTAGTGGTCGTTCCAGGCAGGTCAAGCTGAGTATTGACTTTACAATGGAGAAGGGGCTTTTGTGAACATGGGTCCCATGTAAGGTATAGATAATTATAGGTGTGTGTGTGTCCACTTAAAGTGGGAAAACTGCTCTGGTATGGAAGAAGAACCTCAGATTAGCCTGTTAGCTTTAGCATTAGCCTCGATGCTATTACCATATATATATATGTATTAGCTCAGCGCTACACA